CGGTTGGGTCCATAGGCTGTGAACTGGTTCGGTTCGTGTATTTTTGTATTGATGTGTCTCGTTTTTGGTATATCTTCTACTCGATGTTGTCTATAAATAGGAGAAACCTGGTCCTGCATTTACAATCTACTATGAATTAATTATAGTTTCTATCTTAGTTTCCTGTTCTTCTATATGCTTTCATGGTATCAGAGCCCCTGCCCAGCGGCAAACTCCTGCGCATCTTGTTGTTCTTCATCTCCTGGCAAACTTCTGGTCAACCTTTTCATTGAGACCATCCCTCAGGTACAATTCTTCAAGCCTATCTCTCTTCCGTTGTGAGCCACCTTACCCTGTTCTTGCATTCAAGAACCTCACTCACCTCATCTTTCCTTGCCAACCTCAGAGATTTTGCTGTCATCCTTGCTTTCTTAATTTTCTCTTGGACATTGAAGCCGCCCTTACTCCAAACCTGTCATTCTCGACGCCCCAACTTCTTAGTGTGCCAGTGCTTTCTATTTTGTCTCTGTCGTATTCCTCTTACTTCCTGTGCCTGCTTCCAGCTTTTCGTACCGATGCTTTCCATTAATAAAAGCTCTCTTGGCAACCTGTCTGCTTCATCTTTCATTTCTTTAATCTTATTTCTCTTCATCTTCGGTCTGTTTCCTCATGAGCACCCCCATTTGAACTCTTCCATTAAAATAAACATGGCTACCAATTCCAGCACTACTCTTCCCACCGATCGTCCAATCCCTACCCAACTGAAGTTTCTGTTGAGCAACATTAAAATTGTTGTCTCAGCTGCTCTTACCTCTGATAATCATCCCATTTGGAAAGCTCATGTGCTGAAACTATTCCATGCGAATTGGTATATGATGGTTTCCTTGACGGTTCTTGCTGTTGTCCTAATAAATTTGTCTATAAGATGCTTCAGGACTTAATATACGAAATCCTGGTTGTGACAAATGGATTTTCATTGATTAAACCTCACTGGTGCCATTTACTTCGTTGTCTCACCATCTATTCCATCATATCTTCTTAATCTTGACAAGTGTGCTGAAATTTGGGCCACTATTGAAAGAAGGCTCCAATCTTCTAATCGATCTCACATTCTTCAACTTAAAAATGCACTCCACAATATTTCAAAAGGAGATCAAACCGTGACCCAGTACCCATCTGATATCAAATACAATGTTGACATCCTTGCCACTGCCGGTGTCCTACTTTCCACTGAAGATATAATATTTTATACACTCAATGGTTTGTCGTTCACCTATCATGCCTTCAAGACATTCATTCACACTCATCTCCAACCCATCAGCTTGAAGGACCGTTACACCCTTTTATGTAGTGAAGAACTCACTTTGGCTCAAGAAGCCCTCAGAGAAGCTACCTCTTCTCAATCGGGTACTGCTCTGATAAACGATACAACAACAACAACAACAACAACAAAGCCTTAATCCCACTACGTGGGGTCGGCTACATGAATCCTTTTTCTCCATTGCGTCCTATTTAGTGTCATATTTTCATTTAGTTCTAGTAAATTAAGATCATTTTTAATACAATAAGCCCAAGTCTTCCTAGGTCTACCTCTGCCTTTCTTAACACAAGTCGAAATTAAAACATCTACTCTCCTAATCGGATCATCTAATGGTCGACGTTTAATATGACCAAACCATCTAAGACGACTTTCTCTAATTTTGTCTGTCACAGGAGCTACACCAACCCTATCACAAATATATTCATTCCGCATTTTGTCTCTAAGTGTAAAGCCACTCATCCACCTAATCATTCTCATCTCGGCAACACTTAACTTATTATTATGCTTCTCTTTTAAAGGCCAACATTCAACGCCATAGAGCATTGCAGGTCTCACCACCATCTTATAAAATTTTCCTTTCAGTCTTAGCGGTACTTTTCTAACACACAAAATGCCCGAAGCATTCCTCCACTTCAACCAACCAACTTGAATTCTACTATTAACACCCCCATCTAAATCACCACCGCTTTGGACAACGGACCCAAGATATCTAAATCGTTCACACCTTTTAATAATTTGATCACCCAAAGTAACACTTCTGTCACTAGAGCTATTAATACTAAAATTACATTCCATGTATTCAATTTTAGT